ATTATTTAGTCTCCAGGTGTTGGAATAGCTACTATTTTATTTTATCATTTATCATTTTATTTTATCATTGATTTCTAGTTTCATTCCATTACGATCTGATAGAATACAGGGTAGTATCTCTATTTTTTTTTGTATTTGCTGAGAGTTGCTTTGTGGCATAATATATGGTCTATTTTAGAGAAGGATCATGTGCTGCTGAGAAGAAGGTGTATTTGCTCAAYGATGGATGGAATACTCTATGTGTGTTAAGTCTAAGTCATTGATAGTATTATTGAGTTCTATAGTTTCTTTGTTTAGTTTTTATTTGGAAGATCTATCCAGTGGTGGGAGARGTGTGTTAAAATCACCCAGTATTATTGTGTTGTGTTCTATTTGCTTCTTGAAATTGAGAAGGGTTTGTTTTATATACGTAGATGCTCCATTGTTTGGGGCATAGATATTTGTGATTATTATGTCTTGTTGATGTATGTTTCCCTTAAGCAGTATGAAATGTTCTTCTTTATCTCTTTGACTAACTTTGGTTTGAAGTCCACTTTATCTGACATTAGGATGGAAACCCTACTTACTTACGTTGCCCATATAAGTGTTATGTTTTTTTCCCATCTTTTTACCTTCAGTCTGTGGATGTCTTTTATGAAAATGAATCTCTTAAAGGAAGCATATTGTTTGATCTTTTTTTAAAAAATCCAATCTGCCAGTCTACRTCTTTTAATTGGTGAGTTTAGGCCATTAACATTCAGGGTTATTTTTGAGACAAGGTTTGTATTCCTAGTCATTTTAGATTATGTGTRGTTTTTAACTTGAGTTKRTTTCTTCTTTGATTGGATTTTCCCTTTGTGTAGTTCCTCTCTTTGCTGATTTTTATTGTTGTTTTTCATTTTGTCCTCATTGAATATTTTGTCTAGACTACTCTGTAATGCAGGCTTTCTCATTGTAAATTCTTTTAATTTTTGTTTATCATAGAAGGTTTTTATTTTGTCATCAAATTTGAAGCTTAATTTTGCTGGATATTGACAAGATTTTAGTCATTATGAAGTTTGGGAAAATTACAAGCTCCCATGGGTAATTGTTTTAATATATTCCCTTATGTAGCTTATCCAGAAGGGGGAAGATCACAAAACTGTTTTTATTTWTAACAGTCATTATTACTAATAGATGCCATTTCTTGAGTCTATATGCCAGATACACAGCTAGCCATTTTACTGTATSTCCTTTAATATCATTGACATCTTCCATCACCATCACACCTTGTCCAAAAAGATAGAAAGAGCGTTATGTTCATGGAAGAGGTAACTGTCCATTGGTAGGCTGTGTCTGGTGATAGCTTGACCCTGGCTGTGGAGATACAGCCTTGGTCCATCCATCATTGAAACATCTGGGAACTCAGCTGGCTGACAACCCAGAAAACCTTCACATGTAACTAGGACTCAGTCAAGAGAAGTGAAATGAAACTAAAACYCTCCAAGAATTCTTTGTCTTTCCTGCCCTGGACAGCAGTATAGCCTTGTTCTAAAATTGGCATTTTAAACCACTTTAAATCAGGTTCTCTTTCTTTCTCCCTTTCCTTCTCAGATTTGCTTCCAGGAAGCATTTTGAGTTATAATTCATGGAAAAAGAAATGATGGGGTGAAATGTTAAATGAGTAATTAGCAGCTCMGGGAATGTAGAAACAGATAAAATGCTATTGCATTAAATACATTTTCTTTGACCCTCCTTGAGGTGAGGATTGAGCTCCTATGGAAGGATAAGGGCATCTGACRTGAGATTTTAAGTTGGAGATTTGACCTTAAGGGCAACTAGAGCTATATTTTGGTTCACGTCAGAGTGCCCAAAAAGCCTTTGGTCTGTGAAAGTCGAAATATGAGGAGATGACAATCAGCCCCTGACTGAGGTCAGAAAATTATAAGACACAGTGGTGATATATACAGGAAAAGCTCTAGRAAAGAGGTCATCTTAATGTTTGCCTGTGAGAATGGAAAATGGTAGATGAGGGTGAAGACATCCAAGTCAAATACTCTGTATTCYGTAATATGCAGCAGCCTGTGCAGCACTGGAACTAGGCGTGGAGACCAAGGAATCATTAGGAGCTGGGAGGCCACCTGACCCCACATAGGCCCCACGCTGAAGGYAGAAACAAAAAGGAAAACGCAAAGCTACTGCAGAGAGCCAGGTCTGGGGATGAGTCCCCATTCATTCTACCTGTCCCTGCTTCACACTCTCCAGGGATCCCATAACAGCAGAACACTCTGGACACTGAATGTATCCTTCAGATACATCAGTTGCTACTTTCCACCGAACTCTTACTGGGGCTGGTCTGTGAGTTTGAGGATCTGTCTCATGCATGGTCTGTTCCATCACATGTCAGCTGTAGGCAAACTGGTATCTCCTGGGTGGAGAGAGGGAGGCAAGAAGTTGAGAGGGGTCAAATTCAGCCCCTCAAACTCTGCTCCTCTTTTGTCCACAGAGCAGCCTCGCACAGAGTCTGAATGGGAGAACAGCTTCACCTTGAAAATGTTTCTTTTTCAGTTTGTCAATCTGAATAGCTCCACATTTTACATCGCATTCTTCCTTGGAAGGTAAGAASCTGACCCCTCCACACCTACTTATGCCAGGCGGGGACAGAACACTCAGAGTCCACTAGCAAAGGTGATAGAGAAGCCCATCTCACAGGGTGACCTATGTAAAATGTAAAAAGAGAACATTGACTTCCTTTCCCTTTCCAAATGAATCCCAAAAAATAGTCTCCACTCAGAAGTGCTCTGTATCTTTTATTGCTAATGCAAATGGTTTACTTGCACCTGTGAATGATGGATTGAAAACATCTGACCAATATCCATACCTGCAGAAGGCCCCCGGAGACTCACACCTATGAAAGCAGGTGGCATAGGGGTATAATCCTACAGCATATCCTAAATCTCTAAGAGGGAAGAACATCCTGCCCCCCGCCCAGGAAAGGGGATAGAATGAATACCAGAGAATACTATGTAACTTTAAATCTAGCAGTTATGAGGATTTAGGAGGGATTCTATGCTTAGTGGTAATTCCCCATGAATTCCACCCCACCTGGAAGCATTTCAGGAGAGTGGGGAAACAGAGAAAGGAGTCAGGTATAGGGTTTCAGTGAGAGGCATGCACSAGCATCTCCTTAGTTTTTTAGCTACTCCAATAGCATGAAATTCTGAACAGCTTGATTTTATTTTAAAGAGCATGACTATTATTCAAAAGCATCAAATATGTTTAAAGGAACCAGTAAAACTGTTGCTTACCCCAACTAGAGCACCTGCTATTCAGCAGAAAATGTTAAAAGTTACAGCAAGCAGGAAGAACTGGCCCCTGCTGCTAGCAACTGGRTGGAAAGCCGGAAGAGAAATGTCCCCTGGAGAATTCCAAGAGCTAGAGTTATGACAGCTCTGGAGGGCTTCCTAATTCCTTCAACCTGATACTTGACTGCACCCATAATTTACTTTGGAGGATGTTCTAAACTGAATCTAATATTCACAGAAAGCTTAGACTTACAGAATGCTAATGACTTGTTTTTCTGTGTGTTAAAGATTCACAGGACACCCAGGTGCCTACTTGAGGCTGATAAACAGGTGGAGACTAGAAGAGGTCTGTATTCTCCCCTCCTTCCTTWTTTCCTACATACTCACATGAAACAGCCCTATGGAAACTTTATGCAAATTAGAAGCAGACACCCTTTCTTCCTCACCATTGATTCTTGAATTTTCTGTGTTTGCTTACCTTGCAGTGCCACCCTAGTGGATGCCTTATTGATCTCTGTATGCAAATGGGTATTATAATGGTGCTAAAGCAGACCTGGAATAATTTCATGGAACTTGGCTACCCGTAAGTACCTTAGATGTCTATCATTGACAGGCAGCATTGCTCCTTATTGGCATTTCTGGGTGTGGCAAGTAAGRTAAGCAATGCAGACTTGGCAATCAAGCAAGCGTCACACTTACATATTCAAAGGCAGTCATGAAAACACACATTGGCTCTATGGGGAGATTTAGCACAGGTCACGTGAATGAAAGTGAATGTTCTTTATGAAGTCTCTGTAGTCCCCTAAGTATTAAATATTGGCCTGCAAGATGCTTATGTGATGCTTTTGACCCTTTAGGCTCCACCATTGTTTAAGTCCATAGCTCTTTACTTATTAATAAGACCGCCACCTCACCATTCCTGTGATAAATTAGAATGGTAATTTTTTAAAACTACACTAAATTCAGACTACAGAAAAAAAGAAATTATGGAAAGGAGTAAAGTTCAAGAATTCACAAAATAAATAGGTRTATTTCTAAGGCATTAGCACCTGGACAGAATATTTTTCTGTCCATGGCATTGGGCAAAACTTGCATGATGTTTGCAAAGATAAACTTCAGCTCTGCTRTGCTTGTTCAGTTCTGGTCAGTTTAGTTTTAAGAGAACATAATCAGCAACACTTCTGTGTCTGCTGTAACTCCATACCCATTGGGTTTCATGTTAGCTCTGAGTCTCTAATGGGGACATCAAGATCCTCTCAGAGAGGACCACTCATTTAGAATGATTAGCTGAATTTGGTTCACTTCAAAACATCTTCCCTTAGCTCCCTGTCARAATCAATGTCAGTAATTTTCTATTCTTGAATTTATTTAGAAATCATATTCCAAGTGTTTGATRTTTCTGTAAAACATAAATAAAATAAAACATAAAACAAAAATAGGAGTATGATATTCTACTTCACAATATAAGCCATAATTAATGACAATGTCCTAGGCATCAGGGGAACTCTATTTTGACCTCTAATAAGACAGACATACAGCATAATTGTGAAGTGGTCAGAGTTTGTTTTTGCTACTCTTTTATTTCACATGATTTTTCTTTTGGCATTTGAACTCCTGGGTGCCCTTCAACTTTTTCCTTTTTCCTTGTACCCTACAGCACACAGATCTGCATACCTCTGATGCATTTCCTTACCCATATTATGAAATACTCCTGAACACTGCTGAGGATTAATGTGTAATTTCACCAATGTGAAATGCATTTTATTGGAAGTTAGAGCTCCTGTCCAGCTTAAACCCAAGCACCCCAGTCCAGTTGTCAAATTGCAGGCGACCATCTCCCAAGAGAGGAAGCATTTTTGTGGGTTTGCAGGTTTTCTGGGTCCCTGAAGTCAGAATCTGCAGGTCAGCACTCACATAAGAAGACTGCTCAAGCAACCTAGGCCTATTTTCACTTGGCTGGGTGTTGCAGAGAAGTCAGTTTWCAGATACACTCAGTCCTCTATGCAACCCTCTAGGCAGCATGAAGCATGAGACCGTTTCATGAACGCTTGAAAGAAGTTCATCAGTCATTCTGCTTACATGCATGAGTTTTTTTTTTTTAAACATGGTTCTAAATTCTAACTATTCTCTTTCTTATTAATTAAGTCTTATGAATAGTTGCTTTTTTTGGTAAGAAATTTATCTTTTTGTACAGGTTAATTCAGAACTGGTGGACTAGAAGAAAAGTACGTCAAGAACATGGGACTGAAAGGAAAGTAAACTTCCCACAATGGGAAAAGGACTACAACCTTCAGCCAATGAATGCCTATGGACTCTTCGATGAGTACTTGGAAATGAGTATGGAAATATTCTCTTTTACCCTCTTAATGACAGATCTCTAGCTATATTCAATTGCAATACACYCATTATCATGGAAGCCATCTGTGTGTGGGTCTCCCGAGCTAAATACAGAGGGAAGAATGTCTTCATTTAAGAAATTCAATCCATAGGGATAGTGCCCAAAATCTATTCCAATTCAAAGTCTTCATGACATTGTCTTGTCCCTTGTACTGAGTCACCAGAACACAAAATGAATTGGGAAATYTGGTGCATCAAAGTAAAGAAGTTAGCATTCATGGAGTGATTGATCCCTCATTCAGATGATATTTTTGAACTTCATGAAATGCCAGGGAGACACTGTWTCTGGCACCAGAGATACAAAAAAGAGTAAGGCACAGTGCCCAGCTTTTAAAGAGTGCACAGGCTAGTGWGAGAGAACGAGAGATATAAAGAGTTACTGCAGCCAGGTATGGTGGTRCACACCTGTAATCCCAGCTACTTGGGAAGCTGAGGCAAGGAGGGTCACAAGTTTGAGGCCAGTTTAATGAGACTGTCTCAAAACGTATAAAAGGGCTGGGGATGTAGCCCAATGGTAGAGCTTGTGCCCAGAGCAYGCATGAAGACTGGGTTTAATCCCCACTACACACACACATACACACACACACACACACACTGATAAAGAGAGAAAAAGAATAACTGCAATAAAGTTTCATAGATTCTGTAACATGAATCAGTAGGAGGTATAGTGGGGAGCAGTCATTTCTGTTGTGGGAGGAAAGTGTTCAGAGCTGGGAATGCTTAACCTATGCTGCACTTACAGTTATGGACTCAGATCACTCTAAAATCAAACCCAAGCTAGTTCTCTTAGATTGTATCTCAGATCATGGACTTTGGAAGCAAATTCCCTAGGTTCAAATGTCAAACCTGTAATTTATGAACTGTGAAACCTCTTTGTTATCTGTATCATTATATCCCCTCTAGGAGATAAGAAATATAGTAAAATAATAATAATGGTATAGTAAACATATCCTAATGATTCAGGCATTGTTCCGAGCTTTCCATTCACTAACTCACTTGATATGCACAAAGGGTTACTCTTACTATAATTCCTACTTTAGAGAAGAGAAAACAGAGACAAAAAGATATTAAGTAATATCTCTTAGCAGATAGATTATGTATACATTTTCTTTATTATTTTTGAAGCTCTATTACACTGGAGTGAAAACAGGATTAGGAATGGGCAAGACACATTACTTCTGAAGGAAGCCATCCTTTCTAGGCAATTYTGAAAATTAAAGGAGTAGTAGAATTAACACTTAATGTTTCTTAGATTGCTTATGTCCTAAGTATCCACTGATGTTTTCAGAGTTTCAATTATAAAATGGCAGAATGATATAACTTGGAAAAGAAATCAATTGGATCATTAATAATAAAACTTAATAAAGGGAATTCATTATAAGAACTAACCACTTTTAGATCTCTTAATGGACTCTTTCTCCCATAAAGAAGGAAATGAACGATAATGTGAGTATATCRAGCTCTTGAAAAGAGGCATTTATGTGGCTAGAATTGGTAGTGCTCCAAATACTGCARTATCTTTTCACCATAAAACAAATATGAGAAGCATTGCAAGCAGATGGGTGAATTCCAACAGCTTACTTCTGTTCCTGCTGGTTTTATTTTTCTTTTCACTTCCCGGCTTTGTTGTTGTTTTAATATTGTAACTCACTGAATTGCATATGTAGAGAGAAATATAGAAATMGTAAGTGTACAGATCAATGAATTTTTACAAGTTTACACACAAATGTATGTAGATGAGAGTGTGGCTAACCACTACACACTACCCACAAACCAAATTCAGTCCAGTGTCTTTTTCTAAGTAAAGCTTTATTGGAACACAATGATACCCACTTATTTACATATTATCTATAGCYGCTTTTACACTATAACAGCCAAGTGGAATAGTTGTGTCCGAGACATTAAAGCCAGCAATATTTAGTGTCTGACTCCTTATAAAAATAGTTTGCCATCCTGTGAACTAGATTAAGCAGCAGAATATTATGAGTATCTAAGAAAGTTCTTTTGTCCCCCCTCCCATACAGAACAACCTCTGTGATCACTTTGAATGCCATAGATTAGTTTTTCTTTTTTGATATCCACATGAACAGAATTGTAGAGTACATACTCGTGTAACTGGCTGCTTTCATTCAATATCACATTTATAACATTCTTCCCTGTTGCTYTTGGTAGTAGAATTCCATTTTCATTTTGCTCTATAGTATTCCTAAGATATACACACCTGAAGCAAAATTATGAAACAGGCAGATTGTCTTCAACGTTCATCCCATCTTTCCTTTTAGTCATGTGATTTTTTTTTGCATTTCCATTTTCAGTTATGCCCCAGCTTGCTACCTTGCCCCCATCCAGCACACTGACTCCCACATCACTAATCAAGTCTCTCCTATGTTTTGAATGTCTTTCTGAGCACAAATAAGGGTTGAGGCGTTGGATAGGAACACTTTAAGAGGTGTCAAAGCCTCTGTTAGGCTTCTCCAAAACGGGTAAAATTTCTTGAAGAAGTGCAGGCATCAGTGTGCCAATAGGTGAAGTACTGTGAGTTTGCAYATCTTCTTGGCTCCTGAAAATAGAAATGTTCCACATTTTATCCATTCATYCTACTGTTAATAGATATTTATTTCCAGATTTGGGCTCTTTTAAATATGCTTATGTGAACATATTTGTAACATGTGTTTTCAGTCACATAAGTTAAATATTTCTGTTGGGAATTTATGTAGGATTGGAGTTACCTGACCATAAAATATGCATTTGTCAATCTTCAGTAGACCCTTTCAAGCTTTTCAAAGTTGGGTTGTTCCAATTTATATTTCAACTAGCAACGTAAGAGCTCCAGTTATTCCATTTACTCACTAAAAGTCATTAGGTATTTTTATAAAATTTTAACTATCTGGTCAGTATGTCATAGTGTCTCACCATGGCTTTAATTTGAAATTTCCTGATGACTAATGATGCTGGGAACTTTTTCATATGCTTATGGCAATTTGGATATCTTYTTTGATGAATTCTCACCCCAACCCATAATTTTAATGGGAATCTGTCTTTTTCTTAGTGATTTGTGGAAGCCATATTATAGACATAAGTTCTTTGTCAGATATATAAATTGCAAAAAAAATATCCTTTCTTGCTTTATCAGTGACTTGATTTCTAACTCTCTTATCTGTGTCTTTAAATTACAGAAGTTTCAACTTTGTTCTTCTTCAAAATTGGTTCCATATACATTTTACAATAAGATTTCCAATTTCTACAAAAAAAATCTTATCAAGATATTGACTGGAATTGAATTGAACCTCTTAAACAATTTGAGGAAAACATATTTTCCAATTAATAGATATGGTCTATTTCTGCATTTATTTATTTTTCTACATTTTTTCTCAGCAAGATTTTATAGATTTTACTGTACAAGTTTTAGGTAACTCAGGTTAGATGTATTCGCATGCAGTTTATGAATTTTTAGTGCAATTTCAAATGATGTTTTTATAGCTCTTTTGTGGGTTGTTTTGGGGAGTTGTTTTATATTTGGGTGCTGGAAATTGAATCCACAGTTTTGCACATGCTATATTTAGCACATAGCCTACCACTGAGCTATTCTCCCGGCCCTAGTTTTATTTTCTTTTCTGTTGCTGATGTATAAAATTATCATTGGTTTTATGTTAACTTTGTACCACACAAATATGCCAAGGTATAATATCAGATTCTAGATTTTTTTTGAGATTTCCTAGATTTTTTTTACATGTCATCTACAAATAATAATTTTACATTTTCTTTTCTAATCATTGCACTTTTGTTGTTCTTGCCTAATTACACTAGTATTGTCCATATAATTCTAATAAAAATAATTCTCTGTGCTTTTTATTATATTACTTCTGTAATAAAGGTTTTTCCAAAAATTTAAAAAATTCCATCTAACTAGGCTACAATAAACCTCTTCCCTGAACCTCCTGAGAAAGCAGCAGATACTGGACATTGTAGTTAATCACTTCAAGATCAATATCACATAGGTCACACCTGAGCTTTGTGAAAGCAGTTATTTGAATTAATTATAGGTCATAATATTTAACTAGTTAAATTTAATAAATGTCAGATAAAAGAAAGTTTTCTGTTTAAATAAATATCTAGTACCCTCAGTGATTATAAGAATTATCTTTACTGGTATTATTCCACTTGAATAATAAGGTGTGTGTGTGTGTGTGTGTGTGTGTGTGTGTGTAGTTTGGTTTGGTTGGTTTTTTACTTTCCTGGTCTTTTTTCATTGTAATTATACGTCAGTCACTGAACCAGCATTATTTGGTATCTGTTAAGTCCCTCCCATACACAAAACCATGTTGTAAACATATGGAAAATGGAAACACAAAGTCTCCATCCCTACCTTCGTGAAGGTCAGTGCAGTGGGGAAAAGACAAAGAAGGAGCCATGAAATTTGTGTGGTGGTGAGAGGAGTTGTGGGAGCCATAGAGGAGGCAGTACTACCAAAMGGCTCCAGAAGAGGGCACATCTGAGCTTACCCATGAAGGAAGAATGGACTTTCATCTGAGCATTGATAGGAATATTGAGTATATGATGTGTTTCCACAAAACCAGAAGTGTGGTGTGGCCAGAGTGAAGGACTGTTTGGGAACCTCGTCTGGGCATAGGGTACAACCTTTGGACATAAGGCTTGGAAGTCTGTATGGAATCAGATTATTGAGATTCTTGAATGGCATGGTGGAAGTTTGGGATTTATTCGGTAGGCAATGAGAACCTACTGAATTTTTTCATGTAGGGAGATGGTGAGCAAAGGGCTTGTACAATATTTTAGGCACATGTAAAATGCCACAATGGGGAAAATAGGTGAAAATTTGGAGGTAGAGAAGCCAGTTAAAAAAATCAGTCTGAATTCTGGGGCTGGAGTTGTGGCTCAGTGGTACAACACTTGCCTAGCACACATGAGGCACTGGGTTTGATCCCCAGCACCACATAAAAATAAACAAATAAAATAAAGGTATTGTGTCCATCTACAATTAAAACAAAAATCAGTCTCAACTCAAGTGGGGACAGTGAATAAGAAGAATAAAGGAGAGAGATTTTTTAAGAGTAATTGATGGGATTTGGAGACCAATGGTTCTGAATGCTGAGCTAGCCAAGATCTAGTTTTTAATGCAAGAGGACTGAGGGGAGGAGGAACATGAAAGAAAAGGTGCATCCTACCAGGGGTGTGTGACAGCAATATGTCTTATTGCTGGTGATGTTGACTTTGATCATGTGGGTAAGGTGATGTCTACTAGGTTGCTGTATTGTGAAGATACTCTTTTTCCCTTTGTAATTATTTGAATCAAGAAATGTCCTATTTTCTTCAGTATCCTCCCCTGCCCCCACTAATTTTAGCATTCTTTGATGGTTCTTGCCTGCAACAGTATTACTGTGATATCTAATGGAGTGGTGGATTTTCTATTTTCATCATTCCTTCTTTGTTTATGAATTAGAATTCTACCATGAGGAACAGCTACCTAAATTCCCCCCTTTATCATTTATGTGTATCTATTTATATTTATATCAATATCAATGTAGACTTAATGCTTAGTTTTAGTTATAATCCAATGCTATCATATATTTTTTTTCCACAAATGATTCTGGCTTTGACCATAGAGTGTGCCTTCAAGTTTGTTCTGTGTCCTATTGATGTGTCCCCACCATTTATTGAATACTTTCTTACTTTCTGGCATTACAAGATATCCTAGTCTCACATTTTATTTTTCTACCACAATTTGGGAATCCAAGGAGCCCTGGTTCCTTTTATTTGAGAATGGCATTTAGAAAACAACCTCTGGGTCCTAAGCATGCTTCCTGTTCCCAAGGATACCTTTACTCCCGGCCCCAGGTAGTGCCCTTTGATCCAATGTCTTGGTCATCTTTCTGTAAGAGATGTCCCCTGTGCGTCTGGATCAGAAAAATATCACTTAAGACAATGTCATATTCAKATCATTTCCTTTTGAAAACAGTAATGGAAAACCAACATTTTTGTTCTCCTTCCTTTTCTCTTCCCCAGTTCTTCAGTTTGGATTCACAACTATCTTTGTGGCAGCTTTTCCCCTAGCACCACTTCTAGCCTTACTGAATAACATCATTGAAATTCGACTGGATGCTTACAAATTTGTCACACAATGGAGGAGACCTTTAGCTTCAAGGGCCAAAGACATAGGTAAGTTGGATTCAGGCATTTTTAAAAAGCACTATGAGCCATCTTGTGGATAAAATTTTAAAAGCCACCCAACATTAGTTTTTTCTTATGGCTTCCATGTAAAATGACTTAATACTTAGTGTAATTCTTGCAAAAAAATAGTTTGATTAGTTTTAAATAATATCAAATAAGAAGTAAAGCTGCCCTATTTTGAAATGTATCATTTTCATTGCTTGAGAATATATGCCCAAATAGATTCTTAATTTGGTTATTTCTAGCTTAAAACATTAGAATCTAAAATTTTGATTTCTCATCACTAATTTTTAATATAGATCTTCTGGGGAGAAGTACTAAGGAGTAAGATTGGCCAAATTATATTATTATATTGTGTGAACATACAAATATGTACAACAAATCCTACCATTATGTACAAGTATAATGCACCAATAAAGAAATGTGGGCAAAAAAAAATTGATCTTCCATTTGCTTAACTTTGTTTTGCATTTTCCTAGTGTTTTCTTGATTCACATGAAACATAATCTAGTTTTCTAAGGGCAGAAATGAGCACTGGTATTTGACCAAAGATGTTGAATTGAATCAGGTGCAGTTCTCTTGAGAGCCAAGATCAAAAACTGTCTTTTATTCATTTGTGCATCCAATGCTGAGGRCAGAGTAGGCAGGTGCTCAGCCAATATATGTGTGAAAGAGAATCGAATATAGATGTTCTTGCTCACAATAGGCTTTTAACYTCCATATGAAACCAGCTCACATTCAGTGAGCACCTACTCAGGGCCATGTCTCAGGGGTTGGGCTCCCAAAGATAAACAGGAGAGACCCTGTCCATACTCTTAAGGAGTTCCCAGTCTGGTGGCAGCTTGACCTTGACTGAGCTCATCTTTTCAGATTGTTTTGGTGCCTTATCATTGACCAGAATTCTCTGACTTCTGTCTGATCCTGATCATTAAATCATGAGCACATGGGCACTTTCTCAGAAATTCCTTACATGCCAAGGTGTTTGGAAGCACAGATTCTTACTCCTAATTTCAGTTGTATTTGGAAATATGAAAGGACATTGAAAACAAGTTACTCTGATTGCTTTCATTCTTACCACCTCTGATGTACATGGAGCTAATACCCCATTTCTATTTGAATAGGAATTTGGTATGGAATTCTTGAAGGCATTGGGATTCTCTCTGTTATTACAAATGCATTTGTCATAGCGATAACATCTGACTTTATCCCTCGCTTGGTGTATGCTTATAAATATGGACCTTGTGCAGGCCAAGGAGAAGCTGGGCAAAAGTAAGTTGGCTGCAGAACCATTTTGAAATCTTCATTTCCTAGCCTTTGTGTGGTGTTGGGCACTGAAGGAGAAGCCTTTGGCCTGGGGTATGTGGCACATAAGCCTGATAATAAGGCCTATGGTGGTGGTGGGGGAATTATGGTGTAATTATACTTCCAGCCAAAAAGAAGAACAACAGATCCCAGATCTACTGAAGGGTTGAGGATCAAACAAGTCAGACAGTRTCTGTATTTCTTCAGTCAAATTGGGGCACAATTCTGTTTGTAAAGTCAGCCACTATATTATATATATGATAGATAGAAACCTAGGCAGCATTGTAATGAGTTACCTCACTTTATTTTCTGTGCTTAAAAAAAAAAGTTCAAGAAGTCTTAACATACTTTAAAAACCCATAAAGTCAAAATAATAATCTAATTGTGGAACTGTAGGTCAGAGTGGAGTATGTTTTAAGATTACAAGGTCTTCTGGATGCCCCACAAGTCTCATTTGGGCTGCTGCCTACTACTGGTTCACTAGTCTGAGCCAAACAAATGTGTCCAATGTAGCCATTATAGTTTGATCAGCCCAAAGGAGTAACGTGCCTCCAAATCAAGTTCATTGAATTATGCATACCTGGCCTGGGTCCAATTTTATTATTAATTCTGCATAAATGCACTAAGGCATGTATGATTGAGAAATGTAATAAAACTCACAATCCAGCTATTTGAAGAGACTTCTGTGAGTTTCTTTACTACCATAATCATGTGGCCATGAAATACTACTAATTATCTAGCATCTTTAAGTGAGCATACCGTCCCATTTTAAGAGAAATTTGAAAGACCTAGACTATACCACCCAGCATTTCTTTCTAATCACAACGCATTGTCAACATTCTCTGCTTGGCTCAACCTAAAAAAGCTTACCTTAATTCAAGCTACTGTAACATATTTTCCTTTTGATTTTTGAAACAGCCCTGTGATTGGGACATGCATAATTATCCTCACTCTGAGGAGCAGGAAAAGATTAAGGGAGGCTAAATCCAGAATCAGAAGGCAGAGTTGCTGTTGGAGCCACACCGAGTTAAAGCACACTCATAGAGCTCCGTTCCAAGGGGACATGGTCATCTGGCTCAACTAACCCCTGGGATTTAGGTCTTAACGGTTATTTCAGTTCTTTCTAATTCCAATAATGGTGAAACCTGTCTTGTTTTTTGGAGAACTAAAAAATACAATGGACACATTTCTGCATAGCAGACAGTAAATCAAAGCTTTCAGAATTTAGCATTCTGCTAGGTTATGTTCATGATGATTAAAATTTACCTAATAGCCTCCTTATTTCAGTTTTATGGGATTCCTCGGGGCTCTAATTTTCTTTGTAAACCTTTCTCTTTAACTTAAGAGCCCTCTGCCACTTTGGAGTTATAGATCTGCCTTTTTAATCCATTGGTCATTTTTCTTGTTTTCAAAGAGTTGTATTTACATATGTTTCTTCATGAATCTTATTTTCTRCCCCAGCAGTAACTCTATTACTTTTCAGGACTTTTTCTTCTTTTTCCAATTTAGAAATGCTTTAGAAATGATTGAACTTAGTAATAACTTTCTCAAATTTTACAAGGTCATGGGTTTGGTGGGGCAGGATATGCGGTCGTCAAATCCACTTATGCCTTAAATCCAGCTAAAGAAATGCCATATTTCAGTTTAAATTGAACCTCAAGCAAAAGTCCTCCTTCCAAACCCAATCTCCTTGCTTCTTCAGAACTCCAGGGTTCATCCRTGTCTCCTCCTTACTGTTCTTTTGGCCTTTCCTGGCATAGAATCTCCTTTCTCCAACAACCTTTCTTTACCTACTCCTGTGCCAGCACCTTTCGGTCTGCCTCTGGTGGTTCCTGGCTGTGATGTGGGTATCATTTCCAACCACAGTGTAAACTACTTGAGAATGAGGACCACGTCGTTTACACCTGTTTCTTCCAAGCACAGCCCCTCTATTGTCACAGATACTCAGCCATTAAAACTTCAGTAGCATCACTGTAGGGAAGGGGGGAGACATTCTCATTTCACAGTCAGATCTTTAAAATGAATGGTTTGAAACAATGTCCTCTACACATTGCGTACACAAAGGTTTTCTCCAAATGTTTTTTTCTCTCCTCTAGACATATTAATTCTCTGCTAGCTAGGTTGATTCGACCTCAGAAAGAAGCTTACAGAATTCTGAGCAGGCATCAAGAGACAAAAGTTATGAGGTAAAAACATGAAGATGTGTACTATAAAATTTTTCTGCCAACTAGAATTAAAATTTCAGTCCACAAACTAAATATTTTTCCAGGCAGCACAAATAACCAGTTGGATTACTTTTCTCCCACTGAATATAATAAAGTCATTATTTCATTATCAGGAAGACATGGGGTGATGATTTTTGAAACATTCCATGGAGACACATGCAGGCCTTAAAGTTCTCATGAAGTATATGCCCCAAAATGATGACTTTAGTTAGTGATATAAATCAAAGCTGATATTTCCATAAAAACAGCGATTCATAAGGGGTTAAAACCTTGATCAAGGACCCAGTGCTCAAATGTGCACAGAATTACCTACAAATATATTGCTTAATGAATAATAAGTAACATATTTGTACAAAGTCAGAATCACTTAAATCAGTTGATACCATCACCATTCGCAAAGTTGTTTTTTAAAAGATAAAGTTTACTGTGCAGAGGTCTTTCTCATCTCATTCATAATACTGGACATTTTTATTGCAACAAATTAGAAGTTGCAATGAAATCAGAACTTTCTTCTATCTTCATCTTATTAGCCTGAGAACCTTTATCTATAAAGCATACTTGATTTTAAATGTATAAAAMCAATCAAATTTCCCTTAGCTTTTTCAGCCTTTGATTCCTATCTCTAGGGCATTGGTGCCACAATATCCTAAATCTCAAACACAAGTTTGGTAGCATAATTCAAAAACATTCTTCAGTGAGTTTTTTTTCTGAAATCCACAAACTTTAAAGTCAACTTCTGGTTCTGCTCTTTCTCTTAAAACTGGTGATAATGATCACTGGTCCATCCCTTTCCTGTATATTAAAGGATTGAAAACAATAAGTAATGAAGGTTTTAAAAGCAGAACTCTTACATTTGATGTTTTTGTTTTGCTTTTGTTTGGGATATATGTGTGTGTGGTACTGGGGTGCTGAACCCAGGCACACGTGAATGCTAGGTAAGTGCGTTAGCCCTGATCTAAACCTCTAGTTCTCACATTAAAATGAATGTGATGTTTTCAGGAGTTAGTTGAAACAGATGTTTCCTAATTCAAACAATGCTATTCTTACATAAGACATTTTCTGAATTTCTATTCTTGATAATGCCGTCAGAGCCCACCTACCTCCCCTTTAAGAAAATTGACTTTATCATTGCAGCAATTCCTTTACCTGATACCTCTTCCACCACCACCCCCCATCTTCTTGGTTTTGGTACCACTCACTTCCCCTGTGGGATCTGCTGCTGTCTGAGTCCCTCCTACTCTAACAGTACATGAGTGAGTTGACCCATGGAGACCATCAGCTGGATTAAATATAGAAAAAGGGTGGGAAATTTTGTTGCTGTGACTAAAAGATCTGACCAGAACAATTTTAGAGGAGGAAGAGTTCACTTGARGGCTCATGGTTTCAGAGGTCTTAGTCCRTAGAAGACCAGCTCCATTCTCAGGGCTCCAGGTGAGGATGAACATCATGGCAGGAGAGGGTGGTGGCAGAGGCCAGCAGCTCACATCACAGATCAGGAAGCAGAAAGACTCCACGGACCAGATACAAATATATACCCAAAGCCATGCCCACCTCCTCCAGCCACACCTTACCACTTCAGTTAGCACTCAGTTAATCTCTATCAGGGGATGAAATCACTGATGGGGTYAAGGCTCTCACAACCCAATCGTTTCTTCTCTGAGCCTTCTTGCATTGTCTTACACGTGAGCTTTCAGGGAACACCTCACATCCAAACCATATCATCATGATAGCTTCAACTGTTTGATGTTGGCAATAGCTAAGATTCTACCAGGGTGAAAAGAATTAGCAAGATGCCTGGAGAGCTCAGCATGAGCAGCCCCTCTTCTTCTCTGACTATGGGAAGACTACACATCCCTATATTAGGCCCACATTTGATTCTTTGCACCCAGATGGAGTGATGACCACTCATTAAAGACACAATTTCAACATGGGCTTGTGACTGGCTTTACGTGCATATACTTAATATATATGTTCACAGATATATCCTCTTTACTCTTGGGGATGAAAAATGAAGGATACTGTCCATGGGACAGGTGTTCAATTTAGATTTTGTCAATAATGTTTTTAAAAAGARTGAGCAACAGACAGAAGCTTTAATCTCAATCAAGCCTCAGGGCTGCTTTGTGAGATAAGAGTGCAGGAGAAGTCAGGAATATTCCATTTCAATGCTGGGCCTGTGTGGGGTCAGTTTCTAAAGCGCCTTTCTCTTCCTACTGCTCAGCTCTTGAGAATGCTCTGCTAGAGTCTGTATTTCATAAAACCCAGCCCCCTCTCTGTGACATCTAATAGCCATCAAGGCACTGATTTATTTTCATGTCAAGCTCTGGGCAGTTCATAGATGAGGGAGCCATCAGTCCGAACAGCTCTTCAAGTCAAAATAGGGGAGGGTGGAGGCATGTCACACACCCACCGACCTTTTGTGTAACCTGTGAGTGACTCGACAGATGGGGCTTTGAGCTCCGGTGGATTTTTATTTCTTTAAGGCCATGATGAAGCCAGTGATTTGTCTCAAGCAAGACAACATGTAGAACTACTCACGTCACCATTTTGGCTTAATGTCAGCAGCTCAGGATAATCATATCAGACATGTTAATGAAGAGAATCAAGACTATGATTTATTCATTCAGTCAGTAATTATTTATGGCCCTCCCGTTAGGTGCAAGAAATAAATAACATGAATAATCACCACTCACATTTATCTTGCTGGAGGCTAAGCACCAGAGCACATGCTGGACATCCATCATTTAATTTAATACTCACAATGACCCTCTGAGGCGGGTGCTTTTGTCTCTGAGAGAAGTTACAAGGGCTGGGAGTGTAACACAGTGGTGGAGCACTTGCCTGGCAAGTGCAAGGCCCTGGGTTCAATCCCCCATGCCTCTGTGCTCTACCCCCAACACACACATCACGTAACTTGCCAAGATTATGTGGCTAGAAAACAGCAGAGCTAAGATTTGACCCTAAAGCCCAAGACTTTAGTATTCTAGCGCACTGCCTCCCAGCACAGAGTGAAAGTCATGTGTGGTTCTCAATGGGGACGTCTTTCCAGAAGGGATGGTGTTTCAACTGACCATTGAAGAATAAGTAAGAAAGGGTGAGGAATTCCAACAGAAAAGAGGCCCGAACACCACCGTGTAGGATGGATTCAGAGTGCAGCATGTCTGGCGCATATGATGCGAGTTCTGGGTGGGAGGGGGACCGTGTTTGCCCTATCATGTTCTAGGTGTTTTGAATGAGTTCCTTCACTTTTAAAGAAGGAATGCATTTGTGTATGTGTTTATCCTCAACCAGAGGGGCTGTGACTCCCATGCGGATTGATGCCCATCATGGGCTCTCTCTTTCACCTATTTTGCTRAAGCATTGGTTGGGGTCATGATGTTCTGTCTGATGATTCTGCKCCAAAGGGATTAGAAAAAAAAGAAATGACTCCCTCCTGATGCAACATGCCCAGGGCTTTTCAGTAAATCCCAGCCTCAGTTCCTGCGACAAGGTAGGGGTAGCTCAAGGCACTTGCAACTGCGGGGGGACTTCTATGAAGAAAACCTTGAGTGAATTAGAGGTGGAGGSCTGATCAGTGTTCTAATTATAACATTTGTATTCTCTTGCAGGTGCATGGTTGGCTATGTGAATGCCAGCTTGTCTGTGTTTCGGATTTCTGACTTTGAGAACCGGTCTGAGCCTGAATCTGATGGCAGYGAGTTCTCAGGAACTCCTCTCAAGTACTGCAGGTAAGTGTGGAACTCTGAGAGTGGCTCTGCCTGAGCTGGGCTCAGTGTCCCAAGGGGAGATTTGGTTCCCATACCCCTTTCTGGTTAAGCGGGTTTAAAATGGTGGTTCACAGCTTTGACTGTGCATTTATAGATCCCCTGTGGAACTTAAAAAAAAAAAACCACCTCCTGTCAGGGTGCTAACCAAGCCAACTAAAACAGACTCCCAGGAGCTGAAACTCAGATATCAGTAGTGTAAAGCACCCAGGTGCAGTGGAAGTTAGAGAACTTCTGGTTTAAARGGGAAAACTGATAATATGGTGGTGAAGACTTATGTAGCTGATCCAAGAACAGGTGGTTTGAGTGACAGTTGTTGAGAGCACTTGTCCTGGTTCATTTCTCCCTCTTGTCCGTACTGAAAAACATGACATTTCCAAATGTTCAACAACTCAGATGTATGAGCAGAGTCCCAGCTGGCTGCAGATTCTACCTCAGTAGCCTCTGCAACACAGGTTTACTGTCACTCTGTCTCCCCCTCTAAGAGGAAATCAAGCTGTTCCTCTTGATATTTACCTGTTCAATATTATGTGAACAAGAATTTGTTGAGCACCCACCATATGCCAGGAACTRTTATTTTATTTAATAATCACATCAACCTTCAAAGGTAGGAAGTATTATCCCAGATGAGAAAATCACTTATCAAAAGCTTAATGAATCAAGTTCAAATGCATCTTTTCTCCTACTACTTTGGTTGATGTTATAAGAATTTTGTGGATTTCCCATCATGATATTCTGCGCTTTCCCAGTAGCAAAAACATGAGGACCCTTGGATAGAGGGACTATGTAATGATCCATTTCAACCCCTCATTGACAGCATGGGAAGCAGAGGACCCAGTCATGGTATTTGATTTGTCTAAAAAGACACAAGACTGGAGGTAGAATTCAAGGCTCTTGAATCATAGTGTTGTTTTTTTTTAATAGATTCATTAGCAAAGGGACCACATGCCACTCTGTAACACTCTCCCACATGCCGCAAAGACCTGGAAAGGACTCTCTGGGAAGAGCTGTAATACCGAGGCTCCAGTGTMGTTCTTTCTGGAGTTAATAAACAATGCCCTTGGAGAGGAATTTTCAGCTTTCTGTGAGCCCAAATCAGATGACCCTTCTTTTATAAGTTACCCTCTTAACTACACTCTGAAAAGTGTATTCGCCCGTTTTCTCTTTCTTTTGCCTACAGTTCTTTTCTCAGTGAAATGGGCAAAGGCATATAAGGTAGATGTTGGGACATACAGAAGCCCAGATTTGTTTACTTAGTCCCAGTCTAAGAAGCTAGACCCTAGAGAGTGGAAACTGGTTTGGCCTAAAAGAACAAGTGACACACTCTATACTCATCATGTAGACAATGGAGACATGAATGTCCAATGACCCTGGGCACGAACAGCTAGCTCCAATAGGACAAGAAATCATAAGAGAAGCCAGGTGGGCCCCATTGCTATGCAGCAACAGCACATAGTCCACCCCTTTAAATACTCATACCACGTCACGGGTGATCCAATGACTGTCAGGTGACACCAGATGACTTCTTTCCTCCTTCTACATGGATGAACAAGTCAAATGAGGAAAAGTGGCTGGAAAATAGTACAGTCCTGCTCCCTGCTGAAGGTTGGTTGGGGAGTAAGCAACCAAGCAAYGGTAGTTGATGCCTCCCTGCTTCAATAGATGTTCCATGTGCTCATGAGACCACATACATAGAGTGATYGAGCAAGCAATGCTAGAGGCATACAGGAGTCCAAGTATAAAACGGTTCAAAATAAAACACCAAATAATTTTTGAAGTTAAGAACCTTTCAGTCATTAATAAATAAGATAAAATGGAGAGCCTGTCTCATGTTTTGCTTCCTAACTCATAATTCTTCCTATTTGTCCCACATAATAGCATAAAATACCTTCTAAAAATTAGTAATATGAATGGGATTGTCAATGCTGTTATCATTAATTTAAATTATGGATGTTTTGTTTAGCATTATTTAGTAAAAAACTGTACTAAAATAGTATTTTCAGATTTATTCAAAGTTTTTAAATTGAGGGTTATATATATATATGTGTGTGTGTGTGTGTGTGTATATATATATATATATATATATATTCAGACAAATATGTATATATTTATTGATGTGTGTGTGTGTTAATGATAAAGATGAAATTCAGGAGAGAGGAAGCAGGGAAATGGGATGGAATACAGAGGTGGGTTGGATGTATATATTCCATCATGAAAAATAGAATAGAAACATGAGACTTCTATTTTCAGTCATGAAACAGGTGTACTTGAAACAGCTCTCAGGCTGAAAACTTCTGAACATGTGGAAAACTTCAAAACATGAGACAGGCTCTCCATTTTATCTTATTTATTAAATTTTTAAAATATCTTCTCAAGTACRTTAATGACCTAGGAAGAAAAATTGGTATCCTCTAGCCAAAACTAAATGAAGGCAGAACCCAGAGTAGTATGCAGATTGTTGCAGCCAACTTTTACCCAAAGAGTGCCGCAGTCTGGCTGGGCACAAATCACGAGCCACTCAAGAGGAACAAACTTTATTTMTGAACTCCACCAGCACACTCCAYACACRTTCCCKGGRA